CCCCCACCCCCCCCCCACCACAACCCCCCGCCCCAGCCGCAGCCGCAGCCGCAATTTCCTCAACAAGCTCCGCCGCCTCCTTCATCTCCGGCCTCTCATCCGGACTAATCTGCGTGCACGCTGCACCAACACGAAGTAACCTCACCATCTCCGTCGCCGGCGCCGTCCCTCCAGTAATCGCCGGATCGATGAGCTCCGCCTCCCGGCCATCGGAGATCGCCGACGCCGTCCACTGCACGACATCCGTACCACCTTTCGTGTTATTGACGTACTGAGAAGGGAACTTACCGGTGAGAATCTCGAGGAGAACGACGCCGAAGCAGAAGACGTCGGATTTAGGGGACACGTGGCGAAGGTGTTGGGCTTCGGGGGCTTTGAAGGAGAAGAGAACGGAGGGTGCGACGTCGGGGTTGATGAAGGCAATGAGGCCGTAGTCGGCGAGGAGGGGATCAAAAGTCGGGGAGAGAAGGACGTTGGCTGTCTTGAGATTGCCGTGCGGGACTTCGTATGAGATTAACTCGGCGTGGAGATACGCCATTCCTCGCGCGATTCCGAGGATTATTTTTAGGCGAGTTGGCCAGTCTAAGGCGGCGCGGTCCATCCCTCGGTCGCCTGCAGCCAACAAGGTAATTAGCAGTCGAGAGAGAGAGAGAGAGAGAGAGAGAGAGAGAGTTTACATGCATGCCGCATAATTCTTATGAATTTAAGAATATAACATCTAAAATTTGATATTTAAATTTATAATATTTTAGCATTCAAAATCTATGCACTAAAATGTGTATTTCAAAAGGTAGGAAGAATTATATGCATACCCCCTTATTCCTATGCATTTACATATTTAACACCTAAACATCAATTAATCTTTGCGATATTTATACACAGAGCTCCCGAAACATCGAAATTTATAAATTAACTAGTGGGGAGTTGTTTTCATACTTGTATTTTCATGAGCCACGATCAAACTATTGAGAATTGGATAAAAATGAAAAATATGGGTTGGGTTTTTACCATGCATTTTGATATTTGAGTGAAAACTTAAAAGATGGATGACATAGGGCGGTTGATTTGTAAATAGCAAATGTTGGGTATATGTTTGCTGAATCCAAAAATGTTCGGGAGATACGCCCAAGGTATGGAGCATTCTAGACGGGCGAGAGAGAGAGAAAGAGAGAGAGTGAGTGAGTGAGTGAGTGAGTAAGTGTGTGGTTGAGATCAACAGGAAATTTGCCGACCGCCTATTTAGCCTTGGCTCCGTCGACATCTGATCTGAGAGGATATTCTATGTTGATCATCCAGATGACCAATCAACGTCTTGTGAGAGATCCCCTAGCATGATATATCGATCGCTTGAACAAAACGCCCCCTCATCGGCGTCCAAACAGACACTCGTCTACGAGTTGCATTCGATCGACCATATCTTTTTCCCAAGCAGTCCATTTTCCCTGAGATTCATACTGACATATTTCTCATATAAATATTTAGTTTTCTAATTCTCTTACTCCTTGGAAGCCGCACTGCACACAAGGATAAGAGAATTTTTTAATCGATACAAAATAATTAAATGACATTATTGCATAATAATGTACTCTCCTGAATTTCAGTGCCTAGACCAAGTGGAGAGGGAAGTTGCACACTTCACGAGGAATTTGAAATCTTCTAGGGGGAGATGCTTGTCGATTGTGGGAAAGTGGCGCACCTGTGTTTGAAACGACCGACCGTCAGAGAGGACCTCGCTTCTCAGCCAAGGGATAGTCAGAATGACCTCTCTAGGCTAGGCAGAGAGTTTATGTATAAATAGTTTCGTCACCGAGAGCTTGTCTTGGATGAAGCCGCAAACAATCACTTACAATTTTATTTCTTAGCTGTAACTAAGGGTTTAGTGTGACATCCCCTCTTTTTTGTGGCATCCCCTCTTGGATGAAGCCGCAAACAATCACTTACAATTTTCATTGTCTTTTCTTCCTTTCTTTGGGTTCTACTATGGCTTTCCTTCTCTTCTCTTTTCTCGCACAGTATCATAGACTCCATGGTTCAGAAGTATTCTTAGAAGTCATTTGGCTCGATTTATGCTATAGAGATTTTGGTCATCTCCATGGCGGTCGTGGAAGAGATCCAAGATTGTTATGTTATGGATCCTATGATTTTCCGACGAGCGGTCGCCGGCCACGAACGGGCTAAATGAGATTTTTCTCCTGACTTTGTCTTTTATAAGGATCATTTTAAGATGGGCCTTCGACCGTCATTTTGTCGAGAGTTGTGGTTGATCTTCAACTGCTATGGTATCATTCCTGCCCGAATTCTTTCTAACTCTATCGTCGTCATCATGATTTATGGGTTTTTTTTATGGAGGATGAGAATCCCATAGTCGAACGAACTCTTTAAAAAAAAAATTTCTTTTTGGATCTGCCGTGATGGATAAATTCAGTTTGTCACCGATCCTGAGAATCAATTGATGGAACTTGAAAACAAGGTGAAGGACTGGATGACAAACTTCTTGGCAGCATCTTGTGTGAATAGATGGGGAATCCACACTACTTCGATAGAGTGCATGGTGAAGAAAGTGAAGACCATACTAGGGAATGTTTGTAATCATAGGGCACTGATTGAGGGTCAGTGTCTTTCTTTATTTCAATACATCAACCCCAACGTAATCGGACTCATGACTCTTCTGGATTGTGTTGCTACCATGAATGAAGATTTTTGGAGATCGGACAACAACATGGTGGTTACTCAGGAGAGAGTTGCTGAAGAGAAGGCAGCTTTGATGATGCTTCGGGGGAGAGGTGCTCCTCGCCCACTCGATGGAGTTAGGGGTCAGTTTGATTTTGTTAGGTCGGCTGATGGGGATGCTGAAGGTTGGTGTTACCTATTTTCTTACTTTTTTATGTGTGAAACATACTTATGTGGCTTTTGTTTGACTTGCTAGATTCTTGGAAGGAAGTGGGAATCACTCCTCTCAATGGCCTAATGATCTCGACTCCGGAGATTCACCGTAGTATATATCGGTTCGAGGAGTTTTGGCGGTGACAGGGGAGACCTCGTTCATATCTCTGGAAAAACAAGGGGAGGCGAGTCACGCCTCTCATCCTATCTCTGTTTAGATCGACTTTAAGGAAAGGTGAGAGGTTGCAGATTGAATGAAGAGTGACGTCCCCCAGAGGAAAGGAAAGGCTCTTGCCCCTAATGTCAGATTTCCCCCTCCCCTGGTGCAAAGTAGGGCGGTGCTGCCTGAGGGGACATTCTCGCACGATCACAGAGCTGGAGTTTGCACGAGCGGCCACTACGCTCTCATCGACAGGGAGACCGAGTGGTTCCCAAACACTCCTTTGGTTGGGAACTACCCCTCGATTTTGATGGACATGTTATGGTCTCATAACTTTGAGAAGACCATGACGTCAATGGACATGAGAGATATGTTCCAAGTAGTCGATCGATATCATGCCCCAACCCGGCAGGCTTCGCACTGCTATAGCTTCCTTTTAGATAAAGCTGATTAGGATGTTGGGAAATATGCTTGTGAATTTAGAAGTAGAAATGAAAAGTCGCTATGGAGGAGGAGAGACTGAGACTTTCTGTCAAGGAGAGAAAACCCAATGCTCAACAACATGAGATTTAGGTGGCTACCCTCCTGAAAGAAAATGTGGAACTGAAAGAGAAGACATCCTCGATGGTCACTGAGAAGGCATACGTCAAGGGTCTTTCTCACCATATCAACGTATGTACCTCCCTTACGATCGAAAAATTTGTGAAGCATAAACAGTTGATCCTAAGTGACAAAAGATTGAAGAGTTTGGCATGCTCTTTTTCGACTCGGAGGGCGGATAGGAATCAACAGGCGGGCAATCTGATGGTGCCAAAGGTACGGAAGGAACTAAGGAGGTGGGCTCCGAGGAGTCTTCAAATGTTCAGTTTAACGCGGTCCCTTTGGTATCTTTTTGTTCTTTTTTGTTTTGTGTTTCGTTGCAAATTGTTATTTGTAATTGTAAATAGACTTTCATGATATATGTAAACTTTTGAGGTTGGAAGCTTCGTCGTCCCGAACTCTCTCTTTAATCTGGTGATTATTGGAATGAATGAGTATTCTCACTTGTTGTGAGTTGTTGGCAATCATGTATATATTTCGTATATACGGTCGTTATACACCCCTTGTAGAGCTTGTCGTTGTCGGGTATCGACACATCCCATAGGCCACGGGCGATCATTAGACACTCCTCGCGGAGCTTGTCGCTATCAAGTATTAAAGTTGTAGTTTGGGCGTTGAATAATCGATTGTACATCCCTCGTGGAGATTGTTGATGTTGGGTGTGGATATGTTTCATAGATTACAAGCGATTGTTAGACATCCCTCACGGAGCTTATCGTAGTCGAGTGTTAACGTTGTAGTTTGGCGGCAGGACGATCATTTGTACACCCCTCATGGAGCTTGTTGTTATCGGATGTCGATACTTCCCATAAGACATAGGCGATCGTTAGACACCCCTCATGGAGCTTGTCCTAGCTAGGTGTTAAGGTTGTAGTTTGGGCGTAGGGTGATAGTTTGTACACCCATTATAGAGCTTATCGCTGTCATATTTTGATAAGTTCCATAGGCCACGTGCGATCGTTACACACCCATCGTAGAGATTGTCGTTGTCCGGTGTTAACTTTATAGTTTTGGCACAGGACGATCGTTTGTACACCCCTCACAGACTTTGTCTTTGCCCGGTGCTGATACGTCCCATAGGACACGAGCGATCGTTAGACGCCCATCACATAGCATGTCACAGTCGAGTGTTAACATTTTAGTTTGGGCATTTTGCGATCGTTTGTACACTCCCTGTGGAGCTTATCACTGATAGGTGTCGATACGGCCATAAAAATCTACGTTGAATGATTAGTTTTAACCTCCCATAGTGTTAGTTTTTTCACATGTGACTGCGTTAATTCTCAGAGTGTAATGATGTCAGTTCCCCGAGAATAATAGCGTTAATTCCTCAAATGCAATGATGTTAGTTCCCTTAGTGTGACTATGTCTGTTCCCAGAAGCATAAAAGAAAATAAATAAAAAAACTTTGTCAGAGAGATGTTAAATTTGTAAATCCCAAACTTTAAGATGCCATGTATGTAAAAAGGCACCTTCATTATTTTATTAGAAAAGAATCATTATACAAAAAACCATGAATGTTTATTCTACAAGTAGAGATACTTTTAAGAAAAAAACTTCTTTAGATTGTCGGAGCTCCAAATTTGGGACGCAATTTCCCGCGAACTTCTTCAGTTTGTATGCTCTGGGTCTAGCTCTCTGATAGATGGTGTAGGGGTCATTCTAAGTCTGATCCAGTTTCTCAATTGTCTGTCCCCTGACAATAGGGTTTTCTTTTTTCAGTATCAGGTCTTCTATGGCAAACTTTTTCCTCGCAAATGTGTTGTTGAAATATTTGGTTGCCTTTGCGTTTTCTTTTCTTGTCAAAGGGCTTGGTTGGTTAAATTTCCTTGATAAGGTCCAGGGCGAGCATGACTCCTTCGTTGTTCTCCTCACACCACTCTTCTAAATCTTCCCCATTGAAAGCTGAGGCAGAATGTAACATCTGGTTTGATTGTTGTATACGACTGATAGCATGACTTCCATTCTA